CCCTGACCCCAACTCCTGCCCCCGACTCTGGCCCTGACCCCGACTCCAGCCCTGACACCAACTCCTACCCTGACCCCAACTCCTGCCCTGCCCCTAACTCCTACCCTGACCCCGACTCCTACCCTGCCCCCGACTGCTACCCTGCCCCCGACTCCTACCCTGCCCCCGACTGCTACCCTGCCCCCGACTCCATCCATGACCCCGACTTCTATCCTTACCCTGTGTTTTAGAAAAAAGCAAAAAGACTTTTGCTTACAAATGTTTATAAGTTGAATTATTTTCTTGTCTTCAGCCAAGACTTAGAGGAACATTTTTTTTAATAACATGTTTTGCTAGTGTAGGGTTAATGAGGGTAACCGGCAACAACGACTTTGATCTCTAAGGGTTAGGCATACGATACCTGACAACACAAGGACAAACGTTAAAAGGTGAAGGTTCGGTTTCATAAACACTGAAAATGATCCCTGTAAACGTTTGTGTGTGCCCCTGATTTCTGCAGCTCAGTAAATCTAGCCCTGTGCCACTGGTCACAGATTTTATATAAAAGATGGATGATGTGAAGATCAATCTTGACTTTTCATTATCTTTCATCATTCTGAGACGAAGTGATGAGTGAGGGTTGGATCTGACTCTGAACACCAGGTACACTGGTCACTCAGAGTAGCAGCCCAACCCCGATGTCCCGGTTCTTTGTGACTCTACTGGGACCGCTATCCCTAAAACGAACATTGTGCTTCATCTAGTCAGACCTAAATAGCGACTGAGACCATAAACCCATCACTAAAGAGTTCACTGAGCTCAGAGATCAACTGAACAAGATGTTCATATTCTCATAGACTTTTATTGACCAAACAGTCAACCCCTGCTGGACTTTAAAGGCAATGCAGGTTTGAGGTACTTCAGCGCTGGCTTCATTTTTCAGACTTGGAGCTACAGCCGTCCTTGTACATACGGACCGAGGTGGAAATGGGAAAACGTAGTTTTACTGAAGCCATAAAATAGCGCCCCCTCACAAAAGCAGCCCTCTTCAAACACCTCGCAGGTGCAACCAGAGTGGGCCTGACAGGGGTCAGATGACCCCAGATGTTCAGGAAATGCCACCTCTGGACACTGAACTGCAACTGCTGTCAGGTTTTTGGATATAGAGGCAGGTCGGGTTCGGGAGAGTTGAACTGTGGGTCTTTAAACAATGGGGGTGTTACCAGCCCCCACCGGGGCGGAGCATGGGGACAGGGTTGCAGTGCCCCGACCCCAATCCAAGGGACAAAGGGGCTCTCTCTCTCTTTCTTCTTGGTCTCTTAAAGAGGAAACTAGCTGTGAAACAGGAACACATGAGCATTCCTACCATCCTGCACAGTTTCAGACAGCACTGGACTGCACAGAGCATGTTGGTGTGACGTTCAGGTACCACTGACAAAAACAGAACAAACCCTATGAAACGCTCATCGGTTGGTGTTTGTACTCTGATCAGTGTGACTGTGATGCTTTAAATCGAACTTTCATTTCTATTCGCTGTCACTAAATCTGATTAAAGAGTCCTTGGTCTCCTGAAGTTTATCTAACAGAAGTGCGAGGATGAATCAGAGACGTTGAGACTCATCTGTATGAGATGGGTTCTACGTTTAGCTGGTTGCTGGTTGTTCTGTAAACTGTGCAGCCTTTGAGAACTTGCGTGTTCTGTTCGCGGCTCAGTATCCTCTTTGCTTTTATATTTGTGTCTCTCTATGAAGTTGGGTTTGCTCGATTCGTTAAGACTGAAACAGGTCTGTTTTTCAGAACGAGCATGACAGTTTGGTTTTGCCTGGTTTCGTTAGCTGCAGCCACTCTTAGCAGCACCTTAAATGCTTCTGTTGGTTTACTTTAGCTTTCGTTATGAGAGAAACATTTCAATTAACTTACATTGCCTTAAATACGAAGTGAAGTCTGTCACTAAACCTCGCTCTCTGGCTGGATGTGTTTTATGGTGCTTTGCTCTTAGTTATACTAGTTCAGACCTGTACTCTGAAACCGTCTGTGGACAGCACTCGTTCTCACGGAAGATACGACCTCTTCAGAAATGGCCAATCTCTCATCTGAATATCTTTTCTTGTTTGTATGACAGGTCGATCCTGAAACCAGTGAAACTGAAAATATGTGGATCTCAATCCAGTCTAGATTTTTTTCAGTACATTTAAATCACATATTTAGTACTAATACTTAATATTTATGAAGAATTTCCAGTTCTACACAATATGTAGTCTTACATTCATTATTGAGCCCTGTGCATCTGGATTCACTGTCTCAGATCACATGAAACACAGACGTGATGTTAAAACAGAGTAATTCCTGCCCCATATCATCCAAATACATAATATACAATGAAACTTACAATAATGTTTGTGATGCACACACGGTACACCGGTTTACTCACAAATACTCATTTCAAAATCACAACAACAGCAACAACAATCAGATGACTGCCTCTGAGCAGGCACTTGGCAACCGTGGGAAGGAAAACTTCTCGCACATCCGGGCTCAGGGAGCATCTGTCGAACTCCTTTATGTCAACAAAGCTGTCTGGTTTTAAGCAGCACGATTCAGTTCATCAGTAAACTGGATAAAAGTGTCCTCTGGTATGACAACAAATGAGGCTTCATGTCTGCCTCGGCCCCGGTGCCGATGCAGAACACTGATCAGCCTTCAGAGCACGGTTGCAGCGGTGCTTCAGCCACAGGTGGATGTATACCTGCTACTCTGGACTGATGAAGGTAGTCTGTGACCTCCACCCACAGCTCAAACTGAAGCGAGTTTGTTTGCTGTTTTCCAAACATCTCCATCATGAAGTCAGGTATTTAACACGCTGCATCACTTCCTGGTGTGACTGTGACATGTGATGCAGTAGCACTTCCAGGACTCCTTCCAGCTGAAGCTGGTTTGGAGGTCCAAAGGAGGACCCAGAGTCATCGGCGTAAAAGTCTCAGGCGTGGTTGAAAACCTCCGTGGACGTGTGCTGCTCTCAGGTGGTTTCTGAGCACAGGTCGCCTTTCGTACAAACCTAGCAGACTGTGTGTAGGAGCATCGAGGGCTCCGTTTCTGGAGCTCTAAAGCTGCCGCGAGCTCGTTGTCCGTGACGTTCTCCTCCTGTTCGCCGTTCTTTCGTAGCACGTAGTGAGGAGCGTGTACAGCTTTCTGTTTGAACGTGTGAAACACGATCATGTGACCTCTCTGGTTGTTCTTCGTCACCAGCTGTAACGTGTTAGTTTACATTTACAGACCACATGAATGTTGACCTGTTCTGACCTGACAAAGAGAAAACTAACGTGTTGCTGTTGTTCTTCTATATCTTTATGAACAGAGGAAAAAAGTGTTTCATTGGTGTTTCTGTTGTTACTCTTTCTGATGTGTGGGTTGGGCAGAGTCTGTTATATATATATATATATATAGATATCTATAAATGTACTC